GGATGGAGAGAGAAGAGGAGAGGAAGAGGGGAGGAGTGGAGGGAGAGAAGGAGGGAGGGAGAAAGAGAAGGAAGGATGGAGAAAGAGGAGGAGGGATGGAGAAAGAGGAGGAGGGATGGAGAGATGGAGAGAGAGGAGGAGAAGGAGGGATGGAGAAAGAGGAGGAGGAGGGATGGAGAAAGAGGAGAGGAAGGAGGAGTGCAGGATGAGGGGGAGAAGAAAAGAGGTGAGGAAGGAGGAAGAGAGGGAACCAGAGTAGAGGAAGAGGAGAAGCAGAAGGAGGAGGAAGAGGAGTAGAGGAAGGGGGGAGCAGGAGCAGGAGGAGAAGGAGGAGGACGGCAGCACCGGGAAAGGGAAGGGAAAACGATTAGTGCGTGCTCGGAGCCGGCCCGCGGGCAGCCGCGCTCCCTTTGTTTCCCGCCGCCCGGCCCGGCCCGGGCTCCTACCTGCCCCCTCCTCCCGGGCGCCTCTTTGTCAGGGCTCGGGTCCCTCGGCCGCGGTGGCCGCAGCAGCGACAGCAGCGACAGGCGCCGCTGCCCGGGGCGGGCACTGGGGACCCCGCGCCTCCTCCGCCGCCGCCGCCGCCGCCCGCTCAAGTTCAAGTTGCAGCGGCGGACCCCCCCCCCGGGGGGCCCGGGGCGTGCCCCGGAGGGCGCGGGCAGCGACGGCAGGTGGGGCGGCCGCGGCGGAGGCGGCGGAGGAGGAGGAGGCTGCGGGAGGGCGCGACGCCCGCGGCAGCTGCTGCCGGACCCCGCGCCGGGACGCTTCCAGCCGCCGCCGCCGCCGCAGCCGCAGCCGCTCAGGGCCCGGGAGAAAGTTTGGCAAGAGCCTCGGCGGAGGCGCGGGGAGCTCGGAGCTCGGAGCCCGGCGACGCCGCACGGTCCCTCCGAGCCGCCGGCAGCCTGGCCCTGCCTCTACCCCCCCCCCCCCCCCTCCCCAAGCCCCGCCCCCCCGGGGCCCGCTCCCCCCCCCGCCCCCCCCCACCGGGAGCTGTCAAGGAGAGAGGCGCCGCGGCGGGCACGCGCCGCCGCCCCAGGGCCTCCCCTCCCCCGCGGACCACCCCATCTCCGCTTGGCCCGGGGAAACTGAGAGGGGAGGAGAAGGGGCACGGGGGCTATTACCTCGGCCGCCCGCCCCCCGCGGATCCCTGTCCCGCGCTCTGCTCCCGACCTCGGGGAAACACCGTACGGCCTGGGTCCGGTTCGCGGGCTGAGGGGTTCCCGGAGCCGCCGCCGCCCGCTGGGATCGGAAGCTGCACGTGAGCCTCCCCCCTCCGTCCCAGCGCGCAGTGGTGCGGTCCGCGGTGTGCCCCGAATAAGGCAAGCGAGGAGGGACGCACTTCCTCGGACGCGAGCGCTTTCCTCGCGCTCCAGCCGCGCCTCGCGCCTGGGCTCCGGGCCAGGGACCTGAGCCGGAGTCCCCGGGGCCAGGGCGCTGACCCGAGGAACTCGGACACTTCCTCCTCGCCACGCGGGTCAGGCCGGCGGCGGGGCTTAGAGAGCGCTTCCGAGTTCTCGAAGCGCTTTCTTGGTTCGCGATCGCCTTTGGCCCTCCGGGTGCCCTGGTCGTGCCCATTGTACAGATGAGGACGCGAGGCAGAGGGTCACCCCTGGTCAGTGTGCCCGGTAGCCCGCATCTAGGTGGCGCCGCGGCATTGCGGCGTTCCCCTGGCGGGGCAGGGGAGGCCAGCGCCTTTATTAAGCGCTTGCTGTGTGCCCCCGGGCCCCCGCATATCCCCGTGGGGATAAAACACCCGAGGCGGGGCTGAAGGCCATCCCCCAGCGCGGGGTGGCGGCCAAGGTGGCCGGCCTCTGGGTCACCCCCCGCACGGACTCGGAGAAGGAAGAGGAGACCACCCGGGGAGGGGAGGGGGCTCCCCATCCTCGACCCCAGAAGGGTCCGGTTCCTGATTTCCCAGCCTGCCGTGAGGACACCCCCAGGACCCCCGGAGCCCTGGTGGGCATCTGGAGGGGCGCCCGCCGCCACCCCGACGTTGCGATGCCCTGGCCCCTTTGGGGGAGCCTAGCTCGGAGGGCTGCGCCCCAGCCAGGGCCCATGTAGGGCAGGGCTAGCGCTGGACTTGGAGGTCTGCGTGATTTGCTTAGTGGCTGGACCTGAGTAGAAGACGTCTGAGCCCGGAGTTCAAATGTCAGGACCCAGGTGGACGCTGGAGAAGCAGCTGGAAGACGGTGCCGGGGCAGATGCCGGAGGCGCTGCGGACGGCCAGAACGGACGGGTTCGGGACAGCTCTTCAGCGTGTGGAGGCTGGACACTCCGTCATTAAAGCTCAGCAAACCACAACGAGACAACTGCGACACACTGGTCTGACCCCCGAACACAGCTCAACAAACGTGCAAAAAAAAAGTTAAGGGTTTCCACCAAATCTTAGCTTCCAATGTTATGAGTTATTTATTTTGCCCAAGGACCAGTGCCAGGTCTCTAAAGCACATTTAATTACAAATTTGCTGCACAGGACGATGACGTCCTTAGCCTTTCTAGAGTTTCGCTGATGGCCTCACCAATCTTTTTGCTTGTAAACTTAAACTCAGTATAAGGAGGTGCCGTCATGCCATGAGAAATAAAATTCTAACCTCCTTTTAGAAAAATGTGTGTTAGTTAAGTTTATATAAATTCTCCAGGATTTCAGCTGCTTTTAGAAAACTTCTTTTGTGGGATCTGGAATCCCACAAAAGGTAACATCTAGGTATGTTTAGGGCAGCTGGGGGCACGGTGAATAGAGAGCTGGGCCTGAAATTAGGAAAACTTTTTCCTGAGATCAAATCCGGCCTCATACTTATTAGCTGTGTGACCCTGGACAAGTCACCTAACCCTGTTTGCCTCTCCTTCCTCTTCTGTAAAATGAGCTGGACAAAGAAATGAAAAACCACTGCAGTATCTTTGCCAAGAAAACCTCAAATGGAGTCACAGAGTCAGACAAGACTAAATATGTTAACCAAGCCATTCTTTTCATACTTTCTCTTAAGTTTGCCCTAATATACCTGTTCTTTTCATTTTCAACTCCACCCAAACTTAAGTCCTACTCCATATACTTAATGGTCCCTAGAGACATGTGCCAGTTTTTGATTCACCTTGGATTCCTAGGAGAGTAGTAGGTACATCCTAAAAATCCCCATAGTTAAGCCACACAGAACCCTGAGGTTAGTGTTATATTACAGATGCCCCCAATATATGACAGGGTAAGGTGTTTGTAGAATATAAGGAAAAGCAGACACAATACAACCCAGTGGTAGATGCCACCGTAAACTGCAGATAAACTACTCAAATGATACAGAGAGCCTCACCAAGGCTATACCTGGTATGCAGTTTACTAATTAGCCATCCACAGTCTTCTGGCCACACTAGTTTTTAATTCAGCTGTCTGACTCGAGCAACTACTTTATATGAGAATAGAAGCTAACAGGCAAAAATAGAAACAGAGTTTTAAAAAATATGTTCTACCCAGCAAAAATGAGTTTCTTTTGAAGTCGGTTTTTTTTTTTAAATTAAACCGTTTTCCACCACTACCATTTTTTTCCCTAGGGGAGGGGGGGACAATATAGGAAAGGTAAATTCTGGTATAGCATTTTTTTTTTTTTGATGAGGCAATTGGGGTTAAGTGACTTGCCCAGAGTCACAGATCTAGTGAGTGTTGTATGTCTGAGGTCAGATTTAAACTCAGTTCTCCTCCCGACTCCAGGCGCTCTATTCACTGTGCCACCTAGCTGCCCCTGGTATAGCATTTTTTAAACTTTTTAACTAAATTAAAATTTATTCCATTGGTCAAATGATATGAATAAACATTTCTGAAAAGAATTGGAAGTTGTTAATAACCACATAAAAAAATTCTCCAAATCACTCATAACATGGTGGGGATGAGCAAATTGAGGCAAACAGAGTGAAGTCCCTTTCCCGGGGGTCACACAGCTAGTAAGTGTCTGAGGTCAGGTTTGAACTCAGGAAGAGGAGTCTTCGTGACTCCAGGCCCAGCACTCTGTGCACTATGGCGCCACCTAGCTGCCCTTATACTGATGATGCTTAGCCCCAGAAAGAAAAGATGGGAGAAACACTTTCACCTCCTCTTCTTTGCAGAGGTGGAAGAGTAGAGATGTGAAACACTTCATATAGCTTCGGACATTTCCAACGTTTTGGTTAACTTTACTGAATTGGTTTTTCCCCTTTTTAAAAAATTTTTTGTTGTAAGGGATAGCTCTCTGGAAGGGAAAGAGGGGATACTCTGAAAAAAGCAGGTAATATAAAAAACGAAATATATCAACAAAAATGTATTTTTTAAAAAGATTGAATCCATGAGAACCTAGAACAGGCTTCTTGGAATCATGAATTTTCAAGGTTAATAGGACATCTTACCCCCTGGGTTTACAGATTAGGAAACTGAGTCCCAGAGAGGTTAACTTGCTTAGCTTAGCTCACACGGGTAGCATGGGAGAAAAGCTGGGATTTAAACTCATGTCGTTGGGGTCCAGATCTGGTTCATTTTCCCCTGCACCCCATCGCCTGGCATTTCTTCAAGCCTGTTCATCTTAGAAGCCTTAGCATACTAGTCTGATGGCTGTAGCAATGACTAAAATTCATCTTCCTTTATATGGTCACATTCCCAGTGTGAGGGTCGTTTGACCCTGAAGGTAAAGTGTCTATGAGGAAATAACACTGAAATTGGTAGCGCAGGGACCTAAGATTGTTGCCCCTTTTCCATGGCTTGCCCACCTCCTTCTTGTGTTCTTGAATCCTAGTCTCCGTCCTTATGACCGACAGTCCTTCTGAATCTTTCTCTGCTGTGTCAGTAATCTCTTCTACTGAATTTTATCTTCCTAAGCACTAGTCTCATATTTTTTCTGCACCATTGCCATAAAGCCATAAATCCTTAATTTCCCCCTACGTGGCCTGTAAAATAACTGGTTTTTACATCTCTTTTTCCTTTTCCTTTAAAATAGTGCCCTTGTCCAACCTCCCACTTTGAGCCTTATCCAAGTTGGGAAAGGTCTCTTAAAGGACCCTCCATTTCTCTTCATCCATTCAAACACAATCTCCCTCCCATACAAAAATGATATCACCCTTTCACCTACAAATCTCTCTCATATGATATTCTGATTTAAAGGCTTTCCCCATGACCATAAGCCATAAAGGCTACAGAGGCTGGAAACCATCTGACCTCTGATATCTCCCAAGGCTTGATCAGACCAATAGTAGCGTATTCGTTCAGCCGAAGTATTACCATACCCTTGCCCTAATAGGACCTAATATGGAGCAATGATGATCAATTACATCTACTCACAAGAGGAATCTGCCTCACTGGACCCTCGTAATATAGGGTTTGATTCTTTCCGAGTTCTTCCATTATTCAAATATCTCAGTGGCCCTTTCTGAGCCTTGAATATAATTTTTAAATATATTTGGTTAACCCAAATCCTTCCACTATAAAATGTAACTCCCCCCAAAAAATCTCCTGACCCTATTTCCCCAATAAACAAAGTACCCCTAATTACTTTTAACCCTTTTCTGTTATAAAAATGTGCA